GAAGGCAGTCGCTCAACCGACTGAGCCACCCAGGCGCCCCCCCAAAAAAATTTTTTTTTCAAGTTATACTGAGAAACAACAGATGAAAGTAGGTCTGACTTCAAGGCAAAAACAAATAAGTAAAAACTCTTCTACCGTGTGCGCAGCTGGGTTTCATAGGGCTTCAGGGAGAGCTTTTTTCCCTTTTGCCCAGATCCCTCTTCATCCTCTCCGATGCGTCACATTGATGTGTGCATGTTGTGGGGGAGGAAACGGCCAGGGTCGGGGGGTTTGGAAGCAAAGATGGAGGAGCAGGAAGCTTGTACTAAGTCATTTTGGGACCAAGGTGCACTTACTTTAATGCCTCTTTTTTTTCTCGTATATCTCTGGCTTCTGTGGATTTTGTGTCTTTGGTAAAAGAAACCCCAAGAGGACTGATCAGTTCTTGATTCTAAAACTATGGCGCACGTAAGTATGTACTTCTCTTTCCTTCTTGAAATGTGATATTTGGGTCCTGTGGCTATTTTTGTGAACTATCCTGAAGCCTCCTGCCCAACCGAGGCCCATGTAATTACCCACTGCCCAGTTCTTCCTGTTCCGGCGAACGACAATGCCGTATAGCCCTGTGCCCACCTGTGGCTAATGCCCACTTCACCACTGAGCTGGGGATTCAGTGTCTCCTCTGTGCTCACCTTGTCAAGAGTAACGCTGGAGCAGTGGGGGAGGAGAGTCCCTTGAGAGAAATACTTGAGTCACGTGTGCGGCTTATGAGTTGCAGATGGTGGTCCCATTTGACCACATGCAGAAACTAAAACTCCCTGCTGTTCTCCACGGATGTTTTTCCCAGGCAGAGAGGAGAGAATGCTCACGTTGGTTGGTCTCTGTGTCAGTGGTGGTGAGAGCTGGAGCTCCGTGAGGCTCTTGGGATTGGATAGGGCTGTGGTTGGGGCCTGAGCACTGAGAACCATGATGTTACTAGGGGATTTGAGGGGTGCGTGTTGTCGAGCAGACCCTCCAGACCTCTGTGTGCATCCACATCATCTGACACCCATAGCCTAAATCAGAATCAGAGAAAAGGCAGGGGTGGTGGGTCGTAATGGTCTTAAGAAGGTCACTCAGTACAGAAGTCCCAGGTGATCATATACCCCGAGAATTGGGGAAAACCTTAGATGTTTGGTTTTACCTAAGTGTACAACTGTAAGAATGAAGTCCAGTTCATCTCTACGATGGAATAAGAAAATGCTTTTGTGGTTACATAGAAGACTGCTTAAAACCTTGGCAAAATGATGATCTTGAGGCTGAGAACATTCAGATACGTAAACCCTAGTTTCAAAAATAACAGATCTCCCTTCACACAACAGAAACAAAACCCTAGGCATTTTCCTTCCCTTGAAGGTTGGAAAGGGTGCCGCAGGCGTCCACACTTGCCGAGATGTTACCAGGTAACGGGCTCTTCAGGAACATTAGGAGCTCTGCTCCGTCGCAGTCCCCACTGTGCCCTGTGCACGTCACAGGCCTGTGGTCTGCTGCTGTGTCCAGCCCAACCCAGAGCAGAAGAGCCCTTTTTGTGCTGTCCTTCATCTCCGGGACGTGTGGGTTTGTGTTTTCAGGGTTTGGTGACGTTCTCAGATGTAGCCATCGACTTCTCTCAGGAGGAGTGGGCATGCCTGGACTCCACGCAGAGGGATCTGTACTGGGATGTGATGTTGGAGAACTACAGTAACCTGGTCTCCCTGGGTGAGTTGCCTGCCCCCTGGAATGTCAGCTGCCTCCACTGGGAATGTCAGGACTGACTTCCAAGAAACGAATTCCTTCCTCTTCTCAAGAAGTGTCTTGAGCCTTGTCGCATCTAAAATGGGCACCTCGCACCTTCATCTCCTTGTCCTCTTCCCACCTTTGTCTGGCCCTTCCTGTAATCATCTCTCCTCCTTAGTGAGCAAAGGGTGAATTCAAATTCTGGGCTGTTTACTTCACACCCATCCTCAAGGAGCTGAGCTTCATACTATGATAGTATGTTCATGCCCAGACTGCTACTGATGGCCTGTGGTACTCTGGGGACCCCCCCTTCAGGGAACTTGACTTCCTTCAGTAAGCCAGCCTGTGTTTGATGTGGATTGAATGGACAGCATTCACGTAAAACCAAAGCAAGCATTGTACCTGAAGTGAGGTTGAAAGTTACAATTCCTGGGCGCCTGGGTGGCTCAGTTGGTT